GAGGAGAGATCGTTGATTTTGGCAGCATGTCACGCTCATGGAAATAACTGGCGCCTTGTTGTCAATCATATTTTGGAAAGTGTCAAATCATGATGACTCTATATAGGCTTTTTACATGAGCAAAGATCCAACACAACAAAGAAGAAGAGTACAGGATGTCATTTTGAGAGACATTGCAAGGTACACTATGAGTGAATATAGTACCCCCCTTAATATCGGCAATTGTCCAGCATGAGACTTTAAAAAGAAAGCTTTGGAATGCTTTGCTTGAGTTTTTAAAAATGCCTGACCGCCTGGCCTAATTGCCCTTTTGCCAAGCTCACACTTTGTATGAGTGCTTCGTATAATTCATAGGCCTAATGTATTCTGCGGGAATGCACTACCAATGAGTTACTACAACCCATCATAATGAGTAGAAATGCCAGACACAAAATTATGTACTGCACCATATATGTTATAATAGTTAAAAACTCATCCATTTCAGCTCAAGAAGGCCTTAATCATTAATTTGATTGCAATATTTACTCTTTTTTGCAGACTGCAAGACCAAAGACTCCAAAACATGAGATACACCATACAGGGAAATCCTGCCGAAAGATGACAAAGAGTCATTCTCCCGGCACCTCCAGCCCCACCCAACGACCCAGCACCTCCAGCCCCACCTGATAACCCGGCACCTCCAGCTCAATCCAACAACCCAGCACCTCCGGCCCAACACAACCTGCCACAACCTAACCGACATACATGTAATAACCCAGATAAGCCGTGGCCTCTTCTAGTTAGGCACAACATACCCCTGCCAAGAGAACCCGGGAGGCTACCTCTGCACGAAGTTGTACGCAGAAGCCACGAGGCCTTTTACAACTACATGGCTAACATACTGCCCCAGGTGACCCGTGAAATGAGACAAAGCATGAAACTGTTGAACAATTACATTCAAGGAAACTAAAAATGAGCTACCTCATGCACAAGATGACGAGGATGAACCCTAGTTTCAAGATTGCCCCTTGAAAGCCTAACATGTCAAAGTTGGAAAATAAAACTGAAAGAAGGAAATCTTAGTGCACAGTGTTTTTTTCTGTATCTAGTCGGTTGTAAGAGCCAGCTGAGCTTTTGACTTTTACGTGTCAGTTTACAGCTTTTCCATTCAGAAATCTAACTTGGGCTATCGACTGATAATGCATCAAGTGTTATCAGTCCTTTGATAAGCAATGAAATTCGTCAGGTTTTTGCCTCACCAGGGCAAGTTGTAGTGAAGCCTTTGTGCATTCATTGCATTCTACAGTAAATTCTAAATAAAACATTATACATATAACAAAATTTGCCAGAAGGTTTAATTTGGGGATTGCAACATTACAGTCAAACCCGCTTGTTGGGCTGATCACAGCCCAAATAGAGGTTGATACATTTAGTAGGAACTTGTAGCTCACTGTCGGCCTTACGTAACACCCTTACATGCCTGGCCGCACATCAACAGTTTCTTGAGGGTACAGTCTACGAATTCAAGCCTTATTGAAAACTGTAAAATCAGCACTGTTCAGGGCCCTATAACATGCACACCAACATTCCTGAGATTTCTAAAACACAAATGAAATTCTTGTCTGGTCACTAATCTTTCAATTTCTTTTCAATTTTTTGTGAGTAAACCATTACATTTTTAATTATTCCCACAAAAAAAAATCGCCCCCAACAAGTGATTTTTCCGAAGTCTGATGGCAACCCTCAACTTTCTCGGGCACTTAGGACCATTTTTCGACCGTAGTTTTTAGCCATTCTGAAAGCTCAAAGACCCAAAGGAGTTGATCCTGGCAATGATTTACACAATCTCCTTTTTCAAAAATACTGTGGGGGCACTTTTAATGCTAATGAGCTGGCCAGAAATTCTCACTTGAATTAGTGGTCTGCACCCTTGAACAATCACCGTTCCTAGCCATATACAGACAGAACTACTCCACATACTGCATTCTTTACTTGTTCATTCCATTGGCAAAACATAATACATGCAGTACTGCCGAACAGATACGACCGTACAGGATTGCCATGACAAGCTGTTCAAAAGTACATAGATATGCATATGCAGTACTTGGAGATCAGTGTGGTCTGTCGTCACGAATGATTGGATGACTGCACAGGTTGGTTGTCCCTTTTGTTTAGCATACATTTTGACAGGATGGGACGCGCCATATGGTCTTATACGTCTAAAACGAATGAACACTAATACGTCCCCACGCAGCTAACCACGTGTCATGCCCCTTTTTTAATCAACAAAAAGTAGAATCCAGGCAAAATTAATAACATTTGACAGTTTGATAATGTCGAATAATGTCCGTTATGAAAAAAAGCAATTGTTGATGGCGTCATCACTAAATGAGCTCAATATTTGCTTAAAGCACTTCCTCTCCAAGATATAGGCAGGGTTTCAACTCAGCACTAACACCGACAGACTAATTCCATTGAAAAAAACTTAATGGCTTTAACCACTTTTAAACAATAAGCCTACTTCCGGTGTCAACCGGAAGGGTCACGTTATTTGACCTACACGAGACAAATTCAAGACCACATTTTATCTTGGGACTTGCTGATAACAGAATGTTGCGGTAGGCCAGGGTTGATTTTATATGGATTTTTATATATTTAACGGAATATTTAAATATTAAAAATTGAATAATAAATCATGTGATGACGTCATCATGACAAAAATATTTCAGAATTATCTTCGTTTTATAGTTAGTATGTGCTTGCTTTAAGTTTGACGACAATCAACGATTATTAAGGTACAAAAATAGTGCCTCGAAAACGTGTACAAAGTCAATGGGCTGAAATATTGAAAAATCAATAATAAATTACTTGATGATGCCATCATGACATCATAACTTTGGGTGTATCTTTACATCAGGGTCTTTGTTGGCTTTAACTTTGGTTACAATTGAAGATCGCCAAATTACCAAAATAGTGCCTCAAAAATGTGTACAAAGTCAATGGGCTGAAATAAATAGACAAAAATAAATAATAAATCACTTGATGATGTCATCATGACGCCATCGTTCTATGCCTATCTTTAGACAAGGGTTCTTCATTGATGTAAGTTTGACGAAGATCCAAAGTTGCTTAGGGACTAAAGTGGATGGTGGAAGAAACGTGTACAAAACAAAGGGGATTTGTGTCGGAAGGAGGAAAAAAATTGCGAAAAAGCCAAAAGAAAAAAAAATTACGAAAACAAAAGCTGTTCTGGCTGTTGCCGAAACAACTAAAAATAATCAGAAAAGCAATACCTGTTTCGGCTGGATTGCCGAAACAGATAAAAAGAAAACAAAATTCAAAAAAGAAAAGGAAAACTTTAAGAAAAGCAATCGCTGTTTCGGCAGGTTGCCGAAACAGTTAACTAGAGCTAATCTGTCTGTTGGCCAACAGAACAGAGGGCTTTTTGCATTCCTTTGTTAATTTTAACAACCAATCTACTGCACATGATGGCGTAATTATTTCATCATGACCATTTGGTATAAGGTATCAACCCAATCAGGCATGCACTACGGGAAATAACTTTTAAATACATTTTAAATAAAATGTAATTTTACTCCCCATTTGATGTCATCATCACATCAGGTAAATTTTTGTCTTGAACACTTCCTTTCCTTGATATCTACAAAGTTTCAAATCAATGTACTTCAGGAGAGAGAGAGCTGAATTTTTAAGATCACAGGACTTGTCACCTCGTGATGTCATTATCACATGAGGTCAATATTTACCTCAAGCATTTCCTTTCTTAGATATCAGCGAGCTTTGAACCCAATTGGACATGTACTTCACGAGATATGGAATTTTAAATAGTGCACCTTTCATGTCACATGACTTGTCACAAGATGACGCCATCTTAACATCAAGTCAATTTTTTTAAAACTCTCGCCTTCTAAGATATCTGGAAGGTTTGAACCGAATCAGATAAGTACTTCAGGAGATATAGTGCATTGAAGAGTGCACCTTTAATATCACGTGACATGTCACAAGATGACGTCATTATCACACCTGGTCAATTTTTCCTGAAGCACTTCTTTTCAAAGGTATCAGCAAGGTTTCATCCCAATCCGACATGCACTTCAAGAGTTGCATGTTTAGCTCTTTGAAGAGTGCACCTTTAATGTCACATGACTTGTCACCTGACGACGTCATCATCACATGAGGTCAATAATCGTCTAAATCACTTCCCTTTCAAGATATATGCAAGGTATGAATCCAATTGGACATGTACTTCAGGAGATATAGTACCATGCACTTTAAAGGATCAAACTTAAATGTCATGTGATTCGTTTGCTGACAATATTATCATCACCTGAGTTCAATTTCCATTTAAAAACCTTCCCTTTCTGTCTGTAAGGTTTCAAACATTATGGTTATTGCGGAAATTGCACAAATTAGAGATTTGTAAACATTTGTGTCCCTTTTGGAATTCCATACAATGTGATCTGCTCTCGGCAATACGTGCTCGGTATTTTGCGAGGTCCTGAGTATATGCCCTACACACTGTACACTGCCGGCCACACGTTACAAGCAGATATTGAGCGTCCACGCAAACAGCAGCCAATCCACAGTACGTGAAAGGGATTTTCGAGTTAGCAAATATTTTAAGGGGGTTTTCATCGTCAGCGCTTCATCGGCAGATGACGTCATCATCACATCAGGAACATGTAAATCTTCAACTGCAACACTTCCTTTTCTTGTTATCTGCAAAGTTTCAACTCGATGAGATATGTACAGTCTACTTCAGGAGATAGAGGGCTTTAAACATTGAATTTTTAATGTCACATGGCTTGTCACCTGATGACGTCATTATCACATGAGGGCAAAATTTGCCTAAAGCACTTCCTTTCCAAGATATCAGCAAGGTTTGAACGCAATTGGACATACCGGTACACTTCACGAGATATGGAATTTTAAATAGCACACCTTTAATGTAACATGACTTGTCACAAGATGACATCATCCTCACCTCAAGTCAATTTTTGTCTATAGCACTAGCCTTCTAAGATATCTAGAAGGTTTGAACCGAATCAGATAAGTACTTCATGAGATGGCATGTCACATACATGTAATGACGTCATCATATCAGATCAATGCTCGTCTAAAGCACTCCCCGTCTGAGATACATGTATCTGCAGTGTTTGAACCCAATCGGACATGTACAAGACAGTGAATGATGAGCTAGAACACTTATGCAAAGTGTTCGAACGTTTGCGGAGTGCTGGTCTAAAACTCAAGCCAAGCAAATGCAGCCTTTTATAGAAATTCATGACCTACCTCGGCCATATCATGTCGGAGGAAGGAGTGGCCATGGATCCTGCCAAAGGGAGGACAGTAGCTGACTGTCCAGTCCGTAAGTGCGTAAAGGAGCTGAGAAGCTTCCTTGGCCTCGCCTCATATTATCGATGGTTCATCCGGGACTTTGCAACCATTGCTAGCCCGCTTCACGCATTAACGTCAAAATCTAGAGACTTCATATGGACTGATGCTTGCCAGGATGCATTTATTCGATTAAAGGATGAATTGGTTACCTTTAATGTCACGTGACTTGTCATCTGATGATGTCATCATCACATGAGGACAATAATCGTCTAAATCTCTTCCCTTTCAAAATATCTGCAAGGTACTGTATGAACCCAATTTGGTTTGTACTCCAGGAGATATAGGGCTTTAAACAGTGCACCTTTAATTTCACGTGACTAGTTTCCTGATGATATTGTCATCACCTGAGGTCAATCTACGTTTAGAAACCTTCCGTTCTTAACTACGGTACCTGCAAGGTTTCAACCCAATCAGACATGTACAATACAAAATACAGTACAAAACATGATTGTTTCTGCGGAAAAAGCACAGATTACAGATATTAAACATTTTTCCCTTTTGGTGTTCCATACAATCTGCTCTTCACAGCACATGTTCGGCATTTTTCCAGGTCCTGAGTATATGCCCCATGCACTGTGCGCTATCTGCCACACGTTACAGGTAGATATTGCGCATCCACGCACGCAGCAGCCAATGCACAAAATGTGAAAGGAATTTTCGAGTTCGCAAATATTGTAAGGGGGTTTTCGTCATTGGCGCTTCATCTGTGTGAAGGAGTACACCACTTATGCACTTCATGCAGTTGATTTCAATGTTTTAGCTATTATTTCATGAACAATTTACGCTTAAATCTGTCACGGTTGATTTTTTACTGAATTTTTAAAATAAAAGAACTTTTTATCATAACTTCCAATCTGATGATGTCAGATGTGTTGACTGGGTGAAGAGATCATACACGTCAATTTTCAGGCGATTCGGACAAACTTTGCCACAGACATCTACGCAAAATTCATTTTTCAGTTTTTTAATCTGTCGCTAGAGGGGGCTCCACAATTTTGTGATGTCATCAGTACATAATTTGATGAATACTACTTGTATACCCCACCGATGAACACCGTTGAAAGCAAGTTGATACCTACATGTATTACCACTTTTAAACAATAAGCCCACTACCGGTTTCGATCAGAAGGAACGGTCACGTGATGTGACCCACATGAGATAAAATGAAGACCCAATTTTACCTTGGCACTTGCCGTAAACAGAAAGTTGCGGGAAGCCACAGTTGATTTTATATGTATTTTAAAATTATTAACATAGTATTTAAATATTCAAAATTAAATAATAAATCTCTCCATGATGTCACTGTAACGTAATTATTTGAGTATTATCTTTGCTTCAAGGTTTTTCCTTGGTGTAACTTTGATGACATTTGAATATGGCTAAACAACCAAATTGTTGTCTTGAAAACGTGTACAAAGTCAATGGGCGGAAATAAAAATTGAAATATCAATAATAAATCACTTAATGACGTCATTATGACGTCATTGTTCTAGGACCATCTGTGCATAAGGGTCTTCCATGGTACAAGTTTGATGAAGATTCAAAGTTGCAAAAGCACTAAAGTTGTGTACAGAATAAATGTGCTTAAAACAAATCGCCTTTTGAGGAGAAGAAAAATGACGAAATAAAAAACAAACAAAAGGAATGGCTTTTTCGCAAGCCAAAAACAGAACAAAAACAATTCCTTTTTTTTGCAAAATGCAAAAAAGCCAAAGAACAAAAAGAATGCCTTTTTCGCAAAGTATCGAAAAAGCCCCCCAAAACAGAACAAGAGCTTTCTGCCTGTTTGCAACAACCAGAGTTTTTTTCCACTTTTCTTCTGACTCGAAAATATTGAATTATCTTCACTATAACACTAGATGACTTAATGGTTGAAACACGCAGTTGTGAAACAAACCGTAATTTCTTTAAACCAATAGTCTGAATTTACTCTATCACTTGATGCAGAGCAAGAAAAGGCATCGCACAGACCAGTAGATGTTGTGGAGACTACTATCTGGCCAGAGACTAACACCTTTGAAAGCAAGTTATTATCTATAACCAATTTCGAATAAGCGGCGAAGCAAGGGTCATATGACTAAGGGAGCTTGTCCAAAAGGTTGCCGCGGTTTAACCACACACGGTCACCGCGGTTAAGCCCTGTTCCCAGGAACTGCAGCGACTGCCTTGAAGTTCACTCATGCCAAGAACATTTAATGAGGCAGCCCTGGGATGAAGGCAATTGTTATGTTGATCATGTCTTGAATTGTGCATGCCTGCTGCAGCAACCGCGGTCAACCCGAACATTCTATGCGTGGTGCACAGACAGACGCTCAGTGTACACATGTACATGCACATGTTCATGTAAATCCACTGGCTATCCTCGGAATGTGGTCGCCGCAAAGTGTCAGGGACATAAACACGGTGAATTCTTCTCAGAAAGTCACAAAAAGCAGACTCTGTATATGCTACAAAGCTGAACCGTGCAATGCCTGAAATTAAATGTTTTACTCGGCACAACGTCGAATCACACACGGAGAGCGCTATCCAGTAATAGTTCAATACGCGCGTGGGTGTTCATGTACATGTACAGCATCATTCGCATGCAAGTGCACACCCAGACTCGTGCAAGGGTAACGATGTGACTTTTTGTCTTTTGTCACTTTGTGAAAATAGAGAAACACAGAGGCTAAGCTTTTTGTTCGTTGTTTGTTTACAGTTACTATGAAATTAAACAACATTGAGCTTTGAAACTTTGCTAATTTATTCTTTAAATCAAAGAAGTAAAATGGTAGGAAAAACTCCAGATTGAAAATTTTTAATTGTCCGCTGGCGGGTTTTTGTCACTTGGAGAAAATGCAGACGAATTAATCAAATACATTGCTATGTGTTTAGAATAATAAAATTCGCTGTCATATGAAAAATGTTAATGTGCATGTGAGATTAAAAAAGCAAATACATGTGAAACTATCGAACCAGGGATTTTTAAAAGGCTTCCGATCGCCATGGATGACGACGAAAGCTAAACGGCACACACATGTACAGAGACATTTTTATTTTATTTTCCGTCTGTCTCATGATTTTCGACACAAGCTGCATGACACGATTTATTGATAGTCCGAGTTCACTTGCCCACCACGTGGTGTGGCCGCCCTCGTGCAAGATGGTCGCTGTCATGAAGGAATACATGTATTACAACTGGATAGCTGTGTCTTGCAAAATGTACATCATGAAAATGCACAGACACATTGGCGGGTATGCTAGATCTTTTGCAGCAATATGACTAATTCTGTGTTGGGCGATTAGTTGAGCTCTTGAGATGTGAGAGTAGTCAAGTGAACTTATTTGGCCGTATTTTTATCACAATTGGGAGGGGAAATTTTGTTTTGACATTTGTGTAATCAAAGTAAAAAATCATTTATTTTTGAATTGTGCTTTACGTTTGTCATGACTACAGGAAACTGGCAAACAATGTCTGTGTTTCGTGTTGTAAGAGTGCGTGACGCATCTGGACATGCTGGAGGGGCGAGCAATTAGACTCTCGCTGCGTCTTGAAATTTTGTGGAAACGCTTGTTTTGAATACAAGCAGTACATGCATGAACACAGAAAACACAAATATGGACATGAGATCACTTTTTGTGAATGAACCTGCAGAAAAATTTGTGACGGCAGTGGTTTTTTCTGACTTGCAACTGTAGAGCTGCAGTCGTATTCGATGTACATGTACATGTAGTGGAACGTTCACAACCCATTTTTGCAGGAATTGTACACTGACTGGTTGCCACATTTCCCTCACGCCTTCTTTGCCAATGGTTTGGCCCAGCGCGAACCAGCTTGAAACACTGTGCACGTGTTTCCGCCACCGTGATTCGCACACGCTCGTTATAAATTGGTCAGTTCATATTCAGCACAAAAGCAAACACGTATGCAACATTTTGAGGGCAGAATTCGCAAAGTCGAACTCACTTATCTCTGGCAAAATATCACTACAAATTTTTCCTGACGTCGTATTCGCTTTATTTTTGCATTTGCCTCAAGTATGGACCAGCCTTCACACTTTTATGGGCGTATATTAAATTTGCTTTTTCCTCATGCCCTTCACCAATAACGTATCCAATGGGCAATTGACCATATTATAGATATACATCTATCAAAAAAGTCTGAGACAAAAATACCACTTCAACATTCACCACTTAAACATGTACATGTACATATTCTATAGACCATTAAGTCTAAAAACTCACTTGAAGCGGTTCTCAAAGTAGCTCCAGAATGCTGACCTGGAGGTTGCTGGCACAGTCAGAAAAAAATTATGTAGGGTTGTTTCTATGTATGATCATAAACTCAGGGATAATTTGAATTTTACCCAAAAACAAGTAACAAGAGACACAAAAATCTAAAGCAGAAAACGGGTTTGCTGTCATTAAACATTGGGGAAAATGCTCATTTGAGAAGCTAAGACGTGCAAGATTTCTGAAATACATGCTCAGTCTTTGTTATCAGATTGAAAAATTACGCCAAAAAATGACCAACAATTATCATTTTCTTATACAAAAAAGACTTCTAGTTCCTTCTCGTGTGTTTGTGTATTTACGTCACCAAAAATTTGGGCATTAGATTTTTAATGGCTGAGGGTCCTTTTCAATCAGAATAAAAGTAAAAAACTATCCAATCTGCAAAGAAAAAAAAATCCCTTTTCTAAACAGTGATTGACAGCTCCTGCAGTACTCCCACTGCTTCTAAGGATTGGCGGTGGTTCTCCTCAAACGTTTATACAAAGTTTTTCTTTGAGATTGGATAGCAAGCTCTTATTGGAATACCAGAGTTGTTGGGAATTTAAAAGAGTGCCTCTGAAAGATGACAATAGATGTTGTAATTACAGCAGTGAAAGGGTTTGGCCAGTGCCGACTATATCAAAAGTGCATGAATTTAGGCTAACCAATCACGCACTGACAAACTCTGTGGCACAAAAGTGCAACTTGTAAAAAAGGACCTCAAGGACCGCAAGTCAACAGAATATGACTCTTGTGCAACAAGTAAGGCTAGGGGACTGGATTCCAATAAATTAAAATAGACACGGTGACCGGGGCTCTCCCAAGCGTCTGAGGAACCGATGGCAGCCGCCGCAGTCGGATTCCGCCAGTAACAATAGGGGGCTTTGTTAGTCAGTTCCCTTGATATGGTAAATTGGCATGGGCAGCGGACAGTCGGCTGGTTGCCAAGGACATGTGAAATCAGCGGTGTCCGTATTCAAACCGCGATTCAACCTTTTGGACAAGCTCCCTAAATGTACACAGGATGAAATGAATATTTCAATTTTACTCCCATGTTAGCACAAACACCAAACTAGGGGAAGTCACAGTTGATTTTATACATAGTTTTAAATGATTAAAATTGATCACCTTTAACTGACGGTAGTTTTACACCTGATGACATCATCATTGAGGACCATCTCTTCCCTACTAGATCCTTCTTTAGCGTATCTGTGAGTAGGATCCAAGCTTGCTAATTTGACCAAAAAAATCCCTTGAAAGTATACAATGTCAATGGAAAAATAAAATTTCTAAAATTTCTAAATAATGATTCAAAAGATTACGTCATCATGAAGTCAGTGAAACAGAGTAAACATTGCTCTTAATGTAGGTCTTCCTGTGTTGTAACTTTGATGAAAAAACATCTCTGCCAAGTGAGCAAAATGACCCTTGTAAAGTGCGTACGAAATGAATCACACGATGACATCATCATGACATAATGCTTTGCGGCACATCTTTGCCACAGAATCTCTATGTATCCTACAGGATATCTGCAAAGTTTTAATCCATTGGGACATGTACTTCAGGAGATATAGGGCTTCAAAGAGTGCATTTTTAATGGCTTAATGTTATTTTTGTCAACATCACTTTCTTTCTAGCTGTCTTTGATTGATACAATTAAAAGGCAATGTTGAATTCCACTGAGTGAGGGCACCTGACACTCTTGGTAATACATATGCAACTTTAACTTACAAAATCCTGCAGAAGCTTTCAGTTCGGTTTGTACGCGAGACCAAAATTCAATATCTCTTCAATATGTTTGGAATAAAGTGACCTTGATTGGGATCGCAGATAACAACACAGTGTTTCCCTGACCGGCTAGAAAGCATAATGGGCAACAAATGATGTAATGCATAGTTATTTCAAATATGCGCACTTAATTTGTTTTGTGTACCTTAAGCTCGTATAATTAATAGACTACCGGTGTCTGTAACTGTTGCTTCATCCCAGTGGAATGTACAAAAAGTATCAATCAGGTAGTACGTACATGTACTACAAAATGTTAAAGTTCATCATGTAAGGGTGCAGTTCAGTTTTCTCATAAGGGTTTGAAACCCAACCGAAGATCTGCTTCAGTAGTGTTTGCATTTGATCAACCCTGACGGTCTAGGGTGTATGTGAAATTTTAAAATCAGAGGGTTGGGGACTGTTAGGGCTATTTGTATACACAAACTAAGAAATGTCGGTTTCGAAGATGGGAAGAAAAATAATACAAACAACAATTTCACACAATTCTTTCAAAAGTACAACTCCTTATTGCCTATTGAATTTGAAATGGACAAATCTGCAAGTGCACAGCAGCACAAAACCCTGAATGTGGAAGGTAAGTGTATGTTGAAAATGTATTAAAAATATTGAAACTGAATCCTTGTCAAGAGGTTGAGGGATTATCAGAGTTTAATGCTCAATTGTCCTACTCTTTATGAAACATTAAGGGAAAAACTGCATTTGTACATGTACACTATGTGCTTAAGGGCATTTTACTATTGTGCATTATATAAAATCGGTGAAGTTTTTTCCTCTGAAGATTTCCAGACATACTTAAGAAGACATGGGAACACATTGAATATATTAGGCTCTTGTGAATGCTGAAATCGTCACATAATTCCGAAACTTGTATTCATAATTTCTGTGGTAATCTTGAAAAAAAAAGTGTTGGGCCATGTACATGTACACATATACATGTACATCTCATGTCCTATTGGTTGCAGTTTTTCAGATACCGGTAA